TCCGGTCGTCCGGTGAGTTCTCCTCCCCGAGGAGAAGATGACGAGCATCCTTCACAAAGGTTGGTCATTTACACAATTTATCCTCTTTGTTCTTCTGACAGTGCTATATTAGCTCGCTGAAGAAAAAATGGGAGCCGATTTCCCGCTCTTAACGTAATTTATACGGACCGGGTGGGGCCCACACAGCAGGTGGGCGTGGACTAAATTTTTTCAGTTCTTATGCTCTGCATAACGGGATAAACCCATCAGCGACAGCCTTAAAGGGCGAAGCCTATATGAAATAGAACTGATGTTTTTATTTGTCAAGGATTCAAGGTTTTTTGTCATACACACCACATGTGGTACATGTGGTGGAACGGAATTGTGTACACGGTCCCAGTTACATCCAAGAAAGTATTAAATGTAAAGAAAAACAGTAATAAGATCTAAAATATGAACAAAGAGAAACGTTAACTAAAACACACTAAGCACTAATAGTATAAAAACAATACGCCGAAAAGCAGCATGAACATGAGTCTGTGTGAGCAGATGAGCACGCATGAACACAGCAACATGAAACCGATCAGCAGCAACATGGAAACAGATCAGCAGCAACATGAAACAGATCAGCAGCAACGTGAAACAGATCAGCAGCAACATTGAAACAGATCAGCAGCAACATTGAAACAGATCAGCAGCAACATGATGTGATTTTTCACAGTGATTAATCTGGTTAGAGCTTCATGAGTCTAACAGCTTCAGGGTAGAAGCTGTTCCTCAGTCTAGTGGTTCTACACTTAGGTCATTTTCACACCAGATAGTCCGGTAGACTCGGTTCGGGACTAATATTCATGAGCTTTTGTTTACATTTGAGCTGGTGCGTTTGTATTCACACTGCACTGTGCAGTCGAGTCAACCTGTTGAACCAACCTGTTCCCCCGCTCGCCTGTGGGGGCGCTGCACCAAGAACTACTGAAAGAAACGACACAAAAACCTCTGAAGACACGTCTTCTTCTTCTTCTGTAAATAAAAATAAAAACGAAGTGGCATCAAGTTTTAGCAGTTTTAGGAGTTATACTTTGTCATTTTTCAAAAATGGACTTAGCATGAGCAGAAGATGAGACAGAAGAACATGGAGAATATTGTTTTTCACACAAGGCAGCTGACGGCTCCATATAAAGTCAGAGAAATGCGTGTTTGTTTACCCTGCGCAGCGGGGTCCGGTCTGTTTACATTTACACTGTACTCGAACCGCACTGGAGTTCATTTCTACCGGACCGAGACCTAGGTTTTAGCCTGGGCCAGAGTTTGCCTTTTTGTTCCGTGACAGAGTTCGATGGCGCGTTCACACCTCCATAAACGAACCGGACTTTCTAGGAAAACGAGCTAGAGTTCAATTAAAGCGGACTAAACAGGGCTAGTGTGAATGCACCCTTAATGATCCTCAACCTCCTTCCTGAGGGGAGTGGGGCAACAAGTGTGTACTGGGTGAGTGGGGTCCTTCATGATGCAGGTGGTCCTCTTCCTGTATCTGGAGGTGTAGATGTCTGTGATGGTGGGGAGCCTGACTCCAACAGTCTTCTGTGCAGCCTTTACCACTCTCTGCAAAGCTTTTCTTTCTGCAGCTGTGCAGCCTCCATGCCTCATGTTGATGCTGGAGCACAGGATGCTCTCCACTGCACACCTGTAGAAGGAGGTGAGGACTGAGCTTCTCAGACCAGCTCGCCTCAGCCGTCTGAGGAAGTAGAGTCTCTGATGAGCTTTCTTGATCAGGCTGGTGGTGTTGTTGCTCCAGCTGAGGTTGTCATTCATGTGTACACCCAAGTACTTGTAGCTGGAGACCACTTCCAACGCAGATTGACCTTCCTTAAGTGAAAATTAAACAATTATCTTTTTAGTTATCCTGATGCATGCTCAATAATCCAGGTAGAAAAATCTAAAAAAGTTAAATCTGGTCCTCTGGACATTCAAAAAACAAAACAAAAAAACAAAAAGCATGATGCTGTGCAGACTTTTTTAAATTGTCAACACTTTTTATTTGTTTTAATCCCAGATTTAATGTTTTCCAGTTTATTTATAGGACTGAGCTGAATACAGCACCTCAGACTGAGGAAGTCTTTCGGATTGAAGACGAAACGTTTCTACATTTTTTTGTTTGTTTTGCTTTGTTTTGTCTTTTGAATGTCCAGAGGACCAGATTTAACTTTTTTAGATATCTTTTTAGTTGTTAACTCCACTGTTAGTATTTTCTCTCTTTTTGTTGGAGAGTTGAAAAAACCCATTATATGTAACATGCTGGACATTTTTGGAGCAGCTGTGGATGAGAGGTTAGTTAGAGCATTTGTCTTCCAATGCTGGAGGTTCAATTCCACCAGCAGTCTCATGCTGAAGTGTCCCTGGGCAAGACATTGAACCCCTCATAGCTTCTGATGTGTGTCCCATCAGTGTATGAATGTGATCTAAAGCTCTGATTAGACTCTTTAGAATGATTTGTTCAGATTATCTTTGTAGAGATGTAGTAGAGTGCTGTAATGTGTGTGGAGGTAAATGATGGCATAGGTTTTGTTGTAAAGAGTTTTGAGTATCTTAATTAGATAGAAGGCGCTATATAAGTACAGTTACAAAGTTTACATTTACTGCCAGTAACTTATTGCATATTCACCAAGTAATTTAGCATAATTTAACATCATTTTCAAAACACATCTTTAATTTCCTGTTGTTTTCAGATAGATAAACAATTTACGAAATGTTGGGAACCAAATAAAAAGCTTAAACGGACTAGGCAAGAACATTGCAGCTAGATGGAGAGATTAAAGCACATATATTTTAAGAATAACCTGCTACTTTTACTTTATTTACAATGTACTTTAAAAACAACATACTGTTTAAAAGTTCGTTTATTTGCAACCATTTTAAAAACGCTGTGTTAATTTAGTGCTGACAAAGACCAGTGAGGGAGGAACATCTATACAACTGATTATCTTTGGACATTTAAGATGGCAGCTACAGCTAACCAAGCTCAATAAACACAAAAATGGCAATAACGCTGTTATTTTTACAGACGTTGCATCACATACTATTAGCACCTAAAGACAGTGAAAGCCTTTTACTTAAAACTTTAACAAACAAGGCTGCAGGCAACATGCATTCCTTCAAGTAATTCACCTTTTTATATTTGAATTAATTACTGCTTCTGTCCTTCATTTTTAAGCGCTTTGACTAGAGTTTGGAATGTTGAAGGAGTACTATAAAAATAAAACCTTATTAATAGAAGTATTCTCCTTGCAGTCAAATTATTGCAGTGAAACATTATTTAGAGCAGCATGATGTTCACTGTGCAGACTATTTTAAATTGTCAACACTTTTTATTTGTTTTAATCCCAGATTTAATGTTTTCCAGCTCTCTCCAGAAAACTAATTCAAATACATGCAATCAAAATGTACTTTTTATGTTCTGAGTAAAGTCAAATAGTTTACACGTTTGTCAGACATTTTTGCCCTCCATCTGTCCGTCCGTCTGTGTATATTGTGAACGCAACAACTTAAAAAATATCCAAGATGGCCACTACCATATGTATACCTTGTGAGCTGGATAACTTGGAAACATAAGCAACGGGCCAACTTAAGTTTTGGTGTGTGGGTGCATGCATGAGAAAGGTTCCTTTCGAAAAGTGGGTTGCCACGTCAAAATCCAAGATGGCCACCACCATACGTATACAGTATAAGTAAACTGGCCACCCCAGTCATTTCAGGAAATGTTTACTTTTTATTCCTTAAAAGTATATTTTCCTCAAATGACTGGGATGACCAGTGCAGTGGCCAAAGAATATTCTATGGTGGCCAAGACCAACATTGGCCACCCCCTGGCTCCACCATTGCACCTGGTTTGCTACTTTCGCTTGCCAGAGTCTTATTACTCTATGTCACCTTGGACCAAAAAAAAAAACCTACCGTATGATTCCTAACTAGTTGAACATCTTCCTCCAAAAACATTAAGGTTTACTTACTTTCCCTGTTCATTTCCAGTCCTGAAAATCACTCATCTCAAAATCTACAAAAATCCACTATTTAAATTCTTCATCAGCGGGGCACATCAGCATACCACTTGTTTATTATACTCTACCATCTTCATAAAAAAAAATTCCCCAGTGATGCTTTATTTTATTCATTCTAACAGAAAGAGCTTTAAAAAGAAATTAAAATAAAATTATATCACTTTGATAAACCCCATCCTTCTGTTCTACTGTTTTCCACAGGTGAGTACACGGTGATGATGGCTCACTTTTACCTGAAGAGGAAAATTGGTTATTTTGTCATCCAGACGTACATGCCATGCTTCATGACTGTAATCCTGTCGCAAGTTTCATTTTGGCTCAACCGAGAGTCTGTGCCAGCGAGAACCGTCTTTGGTGAGTCTTGAACACGCAGATGCACTGAGGAGTAAAATTATTTACTTATTTTGACTAAAAGAGCAACATATATTGTAAGAACTTTCTCACAGTTCACAGTGTTGCTTGGATATTTATTTTGTTCTCGTTGTCTTTGACATTGTTCCATCATCTGTCCATGTTACTTCACTGCACGCCCTGCTTTTGTCTTCCCAAACCCAAGTGCTGAAATAAAACCTGAACTGCAAGTGTTACAGCTAAAGACTGACCGAGTATTTCTCTACTGCCAGGTGTGACCACGGTCCTCACCATGACTACCCTCAGCATCAGTGCCAGAAACTCCCTACCTAAAGTGGCTTATGCCACTGCCATGGACTGGTTTATTGCTGTGTGCTATGCCTTTGTCTTCTCTGCCCTTATCGAATTTGCCACAGTAAATTATTTTACCAAGAGGAGCTGGGCCTGGGATGGAAAAAAGGCCATGGAGGCCCAACAGCCCAAAGTATGTACCTGAAGTGTCTTTTTGTTTTTCATTGATGCAATTTACCAAGAGACAATACTGTTCGTAACTTATTTAAAAGTAAAACATATTCATAAACAATCGGCAAGTACCTGGTTTAAGTTTATGTATCTGGGGATCAACCATTCAAAGCAATTAATAGTTTTCAAAGGAAGTGAAGAAGAGAGTGGTGAGATCTGCTATGATGTTTGGAGATGGTGACTCAAACCAAAAGACAGGCAGCAGAGATGAAGATGTTAGGATCTTTTTGGGGGGAGTGACCCAAGTAGACACAATAAAAAATGAGTAATTCAGATGGACAGATCAGGTCGAGCAGTTTGAAGACAAAGTTAGAGGTAAAGCTGAAATGGTTTGGATGTTCAGAGGAGGAGCAGTGGATATGTTGGAACAAGGGTGTTGAATATGGAAGCTGCCATGGAGGAAAAAAAGAAGAAACCCACAGATAAAGTTCAAGGATGTATAGAACTGGCAGAGTGGGCTGCCGAGTTGATATGATAAAAGAAAATGCTGGAAGACGGTTAGAGATAGACAGATAATCTGTAGTTGTGACATTTAAAGAGAATGGACAGAAAAGGAAAGACTGTGAGTAATGAGAGCATCTAGAATTATCTTTTCCTCTGCTCTGCTGTGAAGTAACAAAAAAAAAGATTAATGAGGAAGTTTGTCAAACTCAATGTGTAAGACAGTGATAACTTAAGTTGTAGCATTAAAAAAGGTTCAGTAAATTCTTGGCTTAGTTTCAGGGGTAAGTAGATCTTTAAAGCCCATCATCTGTTGTTCCCATTGAGTTTGTATGCACTGCACATGTTTATGTGTCCTGATTGAGGTACAGCATCATTTTTAAAACAATTAATGCTTTTTTTTGCTCTGTAGAAAAAGGACCCTTTAGCTCTGTCAAAGAAGCCAAACAACACCTGTTCAGCTGGTGTGAATTACACAGCCAACCTTACGAAGGACTCATCCATCTCTACAATCTCAAACAGCACAACTGTTCAGCTCAAACCATCTGAAACCAAGGCCCCAGACCCCAAAAAGACTTACAACAGTGTGAGCAAGATCGACAAGATGTCCAGAATAGTGTTCCCTGTGCTGTTTGGGACCTTCAACCTGGTGTACTGGGCTACGTATCTCAACAGGGAACCTGTGATCAAAGGAGCTGTGTAAACTGTAAGCTGAAGGCTTTTCATGCACATCAGGATTTGATGACTAGGCAATCATAAATGATGCTAAGCACTATTTTCTTTTGTCACAAATGTGTTCTTTCAGGTTATTTAGACATTGCTGCATGTGTCTTGCTTCAAGAAAGTGTTGCCTTGTTTGCCTTGAGTTTGATCAACAACTTACACTTACCGCTTCATTCCAGACTCAGTCACTGACTAATTTCTGCCAGATTCCTTTCAGATATTAGCATTTGGCATTTACATTTTTAAATTGTCAGTAGATAATGGAACAGCAAAGCCAAATGTTATGCAAAACATTTTTACTGTTTATTGCTTAAAACCGCCTTTACCTTTGTAACTCTTTGTACAGAAAAAATACCTGAAGGTCCAGGAAACTGAAACTGGGCTCAGGTACATGAAACTTTGCTTCATTGTTAAAAGCAGATGAATAGCCATGCTAAATGTGTTGCCTTCAGAGTGATAACTCAATATAAATGCACTGAAATCTCTTGCAACAACTTCTTTTTCCTGAAACCTTATTGGCACCATTTTTTTCCCATTCAACCTTTATTTATACAGGTTAGTCTCATTGAGCCTCAACGACACATTTGCAAGAGGGATCTGTTCTAGCGGAAGGGCAGTAAGGCTTGCAGCATTGGAGCAGGATTTATCTGTTTAACCATGCTGTGGATAGAAAAAAAATGGAGGAGGGGTGGTCCTGAAAGAGGAATTAGCAAGTAATGTAGTAGGGGTGAAAAGTGTGTCAGATAGGGTGATGTGTATTGATGTGTCAAGAAGAAATGGGAAAGTCAGATGACTGAAAGGAGTAGACAGTAATGTAAAGAGATGCAACATAGGGCAAAGAAAGAGGTTGTAAAGACAAAACAGAACACTTAAGCCCCCAGTACACTGCCGCGTACGTCCGTTCATGCGTACGTACGCATGTACTATATGCAGAGTGTTCAGACTTTGTACTCCAACATACACCCCGAGCAGCTTCACAGACAATGGGCGTTTACCTTCGGGACAAATTGAGGTCACCGATTGGTCATTTGCTGACACGCCTACTGGATTGATTGACAGGTCGGAAAAAAAAAACGAGTGCTGGCAGCCTCAGCCACAGCGGTGTTCTGTGTTTATATGTTATTAATAAAAAGATCTAAAAAAATTTAAAAAAAAGAACAGGGAGCGCTAGCTCTGCAGCCCACACATCAGACCAGCGCACCAGGAAATCTCCAGACCCTCTCGCAGCCACGCTGGACCTGAGTTTAATTCGCTCGTGACAAATTCCTTCATTTCTCACCATTTCAGTCATGGCATCAACGGAGGAGGAAGAGATCTCTTGCCTCTTGGCAAAAAAACAAAACAAAAGAAAAGGCCAGATCAGGGATGAAGAAGGGGAATTTAATACATTGGTGTTGCATACAAAACAGTTCGTCGCCGGGCAGTTTATTGTGCGACACCGCGTACGCGTATGCGGTCGTAAAATTTGAGCTTTGCACGGACATGCCCTGAGGGGTATGCTCGTACCTCTGCGTATGTACGTGCGTACCTCTACGTATGGACGTACACGGGAGTATACTGGGGGCTTTAGGAGGGAGAAAAGGACTTGTATTGTCTGGTGAGAGAGGGATCAGGCTTGAAAGGATGTGCAGCAAGTTAGGCTTGTTAAATGGTAATGTTCTAACAAGTGAGGAAAGTGGGATGGAACAACAGAATTACTACTCTGAGAAGCTAATGAATGAACAGAATGAAACGCAGAGAAGAGTAGAGGTCATAGAAATTGTGGACCAGGAAGTGAGAAAGATTAGTGAGGGTGAAGTTTGGAAAGCTCTGAAGTGGCTTAGGAAAGGAAAGCAAGTTGGGCCTGATGACATAAAAGTGGAAGTATGGAAATGTATAGGAGAGATGGTAGTGAGATTTTTGACTCAATTATTCAATAGATGCCATTTCTGAGAGTGAGACAATCCCTGAAGAATGAAGGAGAAGTGTGCTGGTGCCCATTTTTAATAACGAGGGTGATGTACAAAATTGTAGCAACTACTTAGGAATCAAGTTGATGAGCCACATAATGAAGATTTGGGATAGAGTTGTGGATGAAGTCAGGCAGAAATCCCTGTGGATGGAACGCGTGTGAATGAGAGGCAGGTGGAACAGTGACGCTATGAGGAGCAGAGGTCACAAAGGTGCAGAACTTCAAGTACAAAGGTCAACTGTCCAGTACCATTACTAATACTTATTTTGTTAAATTTTGCTCCTAAATTTGATTTAGAGCAGTCTGGTTTCATTAAACTTTTTTATCTGTTTTTGTAGAGCTCAAACGGGGGCATATTTACAGCTAAAGCAATAGACGCAGCTTTGGTTAACTAAGACACAAGGGGAATATTTCAGAAAGAATGTCACATAACCTGAGTCAACCTTAAACATTTAGTTTGCTCTGAGAAGGGAAACTCATAATTTTCGGTTCCAAAACAGCTGATTTTAGTCATATGTAGATATTTTACCTTAAATTAAGAGTGTGCATGAGCATTAAAAACCATCATCAATGAAGGTCATGTACATTTATTCACCATGACAACTATGGGTAAATATCTCGTTATTTTACACTGCTGAATCAGAAGGTTCTGCTTTAAGCTGATGAAGAATTCAGTCATATTTTGTCAAAAAGTAGCAGAGTGTAACCCGCCCCTCGCACAGTGATTGCCGGACATGGGCACCGGCGACCGCCGTGACCCAGAATTGAAGAAGCGAGTAAAAGATGATGGATAGATGGATGGATTGTGAAAATGTTTTAGTTAGCAAAGTAATTTCTGCAAATAATATCTTTGAGTTTGAAAATCATCTCCCAACATCTGGCTTCACTAATTCTGCTTCAATATCAATAAAATTTATCCAAAAAGGACAATTTCTTTCAGAGAGCTTGCATCAGTAATGAGAAGACCAAGAGAAACAAGGTTTCCAATTGAAAACCTGCCAGTGTGTTTAACATAATCTGTTACCATGGTGATGGACTCAGTTTTATTTAGCCCTCCATTTGAACGGAAAACAGTTTCCCTAAACTCAGGGTTAACTTACTCAGATTTCATCTGCCCCAGGTCAGGAATTGTGTATGTAAATAAAAACAAGTGCAATATAGGAGACTTGTGTTTATGCCTTGCCTGAACAGCGACACAAAGCCTTTAAGGTTAGCGTCATTATTTATGTAATGCGGACAGCAGCAATGTTACTCTAGTCTAGTGCTTTATAAGAAATGAGCCAAGTGGTTTACACTTGGCAATTTTTGGTGTAATATAAAAAGTTATTATCTATTTTTGTGTTGTTTTTTTCTTTAAGTATGTTTGTTGTTTTTCCAAGCTTTGATAAAATCTTGCAAATATTGTTGACATCAATTTAGATGCTTTGAACAAAGTTAATTGTGACAATGTCATTTAAATGACCAGCTATTGTCAAGAAACAAAGAACGATCACTATAGAAACCTGAACTGTTAATGTTAATTTCCAAGCAATAACCAGAGGCTTTATCTTATCTTGGTTTAGCTTTAATTAAACTGTGTTATTATCTTAGATTTTAGCCATACAAACTAGAAAAAACAACTAATCTACCAAGCTAGTCCAACCCCTTGTGATAGAGACATTGTTGTGGGTTGTGAAAAACCAACAGAGGTGACGTGAAATGTTCTTTAAAAATTTAGGTCAATGTTCAGAAGGATTACTGAAAGCATATTTTACCATAACTGTAACTAAACATCAGAAATAGATGAAAGTGGTATTTGGTTGTTGAAGTTATTTGGTAGTATTCAGGTGTAATTTGACCACTATCTGATAGTTGGTTAAAGTGTTTAAAGTAACTACAGCTAATATATTTAAATCAGTGATGGTCTGGGTCACAAGTGTACAATTTATTTATTTTTTTAATGGTAGAAGCTAAAATATTTGGAAATTGCTGATTTAGTTTATATCTTATACAACAAATCTGAATTAGCTTTCAGCCACACTTTGTGCACTTGCTTAGAAAATACAAAAATATGGATTGATTTTGGTGTAGAAAAGATCGTTTAGCACACAAACTCAAATTTTTAGGCACACTTTAAAATTTTTCCATAAAACATAAAAGGTGGAACAAGTTGTGATGACTAAAGGGTTTGAGTTTATATAGCGATGGGCTTCTGGCACTATTCCCTTTAGTTACTAATAAAAAAAACATTACACAACTCTTATTAAAATTAACTTTATTAAAGCCTATTCTCATTTTTAAAACATAAAAAAACATGAGTGTTATTATTTTGAAACATTTTTAGAACCTGACATTGTTACTTACATATGGAACAAAGTTTTTTGTTATATTTATTTTTTTGTTATTTGTTTGTCTTTAAGTCTTTATACAAAGCTATGTTAATTCATAATTGGTATCGATAAAAGAGATTAATAAAAATCTTTTCATCAGATCTTTGTTAGAGAACAATAACTGTATATATTTAATTCACCTGCTGTCCTCAGGTCAAAATCACTCACAAGGTTCTAGTTTTGAAACAGGCCTTTAGGTCATTTTGACCCAAGAGCAGCAGGAGGGTTAGTTACTACATCTGACTAGACTAATAAAACTGAATGCTGATTTATGAAGCCAGTGAGAACAGATGCAAACACTGAATATGCTTCAGCAGAATAATAACTTTGAGGTTTGATTGTGATCATGTGACATTTTGCCTGCTTCACCCATCATCGTTTACTGAAATATATTGTGGTATTTAGGTGAACTATAGATTATGTCTGTGCTTTAAATGCAAAAATCTGAAGCAATAAACAGTTCTAAATAATAACTTTAGTTTATGTTAAAATGTTCATATTTGATCCTACTTTAATTTTTTTATTCAGTGTTTTTGTTTAGCGGTAGGTTTATTTTTAAATGAATTTAAATCTGTACTTTAATGGTATTTATCGTCTGAAGCACAGTACTCTGAACACATTTATTGCATTAACTGCATTTTTTTTTTCTGTAAAAAGTCT